GTTTTGAGAGTGGATTTGTATACATTTTGGGAGTATACGTTTTGGTAGGTTCGACTGTAAATATAAAGAACTGATGTGTATGATTGTTATAGTGTATGTTTATCACTAGGTAGCACTGTTGTTTTATATTTTTCATGTACGGATAGCCATACTTTCACATATTAGGTGTCATGAATACGGTGTTTTTATGAACTTGACATGTAGAAAGAAAATTGAAGATTAAAAATTAGAAATTCTGTTGAACATTTTTAACAAGATAGTAGATATTTTAAGAAACAAAATCTTACTCGAAAAATTTTTCTCCATTTTTCGAGCGCGTTTTAATTATTTAATGTCACACATTGGAATTGTTACGTCAATGTACAATTACAATTGTAGATCGTAATAATATTTATGTAATATTAATCGATGGAGCATTAACAAGTAGTAAGATTTGCACAATATTGATAAAATCAAGTAGATATGAATTTTTAAATTATAAAGTAGAAAAAACAATTTCTATATTGTTTTAGTGCATGATGAAAAACAGAAGTTATATTTAAGAACAAAAATTCTATTTTACAAATACTAAAGGAGCTTTTCATAACTTACCATGTTTAACATAATAATTATCTCTTAAAATATAAATCTTGAGCACTACTTTATACGTATTATCGCTATATACGTCAAAAACGAATTGCCTGAAAATATCCGCGATCCTGCCTGTTCGAGAGATGATCGATAACTACAAGACAGTCGTTTTCGTGAAATAATAAATACATATCACAATGTAAACGTCTGTATTGAAGGAACCGACTTTACTTAAGTTATAGTACGTATACATATATATAGAAATATGAGTTTCAAAATATATATTTTCAATGTTCAAAAAACATTCATATACATACTGTTTTTTTCAGAAAACAGTTCAATACATGTATGTTTTTCTGAAAAGATACAGGTGTAATAATATACCAAAATCTAACAAAATCCTCAAAAAATTATTTTTAAATGTGCCAATGTTGCGTTCGTGAATATGTAAAAGATTTGTTGCGCAGGAAATTAGTAATAAAGGCGGAAGAAATACAAATACACTCAAAACACATTAAGCGCAGTATCAGTTTCTGAGGACTGAGAGTGAACCTTTCGGTTAGACAGCGTCAGGCTCTGGGGACTGCTAGGGAAATTTCTGCCATTTTCATACTTTGTAACCGAATACTCAGCGAATTGTCACCGCCGCGTCGTCACGCCGCTTGAACGGAAAACACAGCAAACTCGGCTCTTTACGTTAAAATATTTATTGAAAAATATTTATTGGAAAATATAGTTTTTGTAACTATTACGTATAAATTTTATACTTTTTGTTTAACGCAGAGACATGCCAGAACTTGCGTAGAATCACGCTTGACTTGAGCGTGGTGTTTTTCAGAAAACTTTCTGCAAGTAGTATGTTCTACAACATTGTCGATCCGGATATTTCATCAAAACAAAAGTGGTATAATTAGTATGTTTTGGTTGGAAATGCATTTAAGAGGATGCTGAACCGTCCTGTTTTATCATCATTTCGTAGTTCCATTTTTTTGTGAAAACTATGAATCGGAATAAAAAATCCTTCTCCAGAAATAAAGGAAATATAGTAAAGAATGGGATAAAGCCTAAAAATTTAAGAAAAACAAAAAAAAGTTTTTAGACTGTTTTTACAGAAACTACATTTTTACTTTATATGCAAAATTGGCCATATAAATTTAAATAAAAATATCTTTATCCCAAACTAGAAACATAGACGAATATTTTGAGTGCTTCAAAAAAGATTTTGAAGCCTTGTGAGACAAGAAAAATTGGAACTACGATTAGTACAATTTTAGCAGAAGCGTTAGAAAGAAACATATGTCTATCCTTGGCTCTCTCATGTCATCTATCCTTGTTTTGGTTTAATTCGGTCCCGAAAGATGGCGCCACCTACCCGATAGCGTAACGGTTAAGTAGCAGCTGAGCGGACTTTTGCCAGCTGTTCAGCATCCTCTTAATGTTCTTCTTCACACTAGTGCGGCTTATGTTAATAAAATCTGTCGCAACTATTTTTTAAAGGCAGATAACGAAAAGAAAAAATTATTTCTCGTTTTGCTTTTACTACTGATGTGAATAAAGCTCGATAGCATATTTATGGACACTACTGTACATTGATAAGATGATCTATATAGAGTTTCATGTTATTTTGTCAAGATTTGTGAACAAGACAAATTAACTGATTACTCAGTAAATTGAATGTTTTTATTTATTTTTTGCCACAGTTCCGTAACAAGTGAGTTTTGATGTATCATTACATTGTTTCGAAAAAACTAAATGTAATATGTAAAAAATGCTTCTATAAACTGCGTTCTGATATTCACTGCCAGTTCTAAAAATTTATACCACATGTAACGTAAAGTACAGCTTTTTAGTACTATACGCACGTATTCGCAAAATAATCACGGTTTCTTCTGAGCGATTGAGTGCAGACGCTGAAAACTTTAAACCTTTTCGTAAGAACGACATCTACTAAACACGCAAAACTTTCGTTATATAGTTTCTTTTACATTAAGAATACTTTATTTTACAAAATCAAACCAAAGTACAAAACAGCAAATTAGTAGAAACAATCGTCAAAAACTGCCAACTTTTATTTTACAAATACTGTTTTTATTATAAGTAATTTAATATTACATATCTTTTTTTACCCATATGACATAAAACCCGTAACACCTTTTTTTAAAATACATTATAATAAAATTATCATTTGTTTGTTTTTAAATACATACAAAAATATATTACAAGTAACATTATTTTATCATACATACATAACTTTGATATAAATTTGATTTTTCTATAACCTTTTTTTTCCACTTCATAGTTGTACATACCTGCATACTTGTTTTTATATAACGTGTGCTTTGTATTCGTTTGTGCGCAATTTATTCTAGTAAGATGTATACTTAATCGCTTTTGTGTGAAGATGATAGACAAAATCTTATGGTATATTTTTAGTATTTCAATTTATAAAAAAATTCAATTTTTTTATGAACAAGTTGCAATTATAACATAAATAAAAATCTCTAAAATATATTTCCGTAATCTAATACTACGTAAAATATATTTAAAATAGACATTAACTATAATTTACAACAAATTTAAAGTTATAAATAAAATCGAATTTTTTATATAACAGTATCCAATTGTTATAATAAGCGTTGTACATGTACAAATATTCTTTTTTAGTTAAATAATAAAATAGCACACAATCATTAAAAACCACTTATTTTTTCATATTTTTGTAATCAAGTAAGTCGTGGACTTTATAACGAATGTTATGTCGTGTTCTACTTACAAAACTACGGCGAGACTCAAATTTTTTTGCTATTATGTCTTTGATGAACAGTGCCTAAAAAAGATTACAACATATATTTTCGATACTACATTGGATATATTTTGTATAAATATATTTTGTGAATTTTGTAACAATCTGTACACGATATGATTTATATTTTGTAATATTTAAAATCAAAGTAACAGTTTTAAATAAAAACAATATACAAATACAAAACACAAACACTTTTATTCTTATGTTTATAAAAAACACTTTTATAAAAAAAATTTTACCGTGTGTACGTCATATACGTCGAGTAGGTTTTCAAACAGACGTTCTACAGCCTTAGTAACCTAAAACAATCGTGTGATAATACTACTGAACGGAATGACTTGTGAAACTGTATTAAACATGATAATCTTATATTATGCTAAATTAAGAGTACATACAGTACTGTTATAATTGTAATACTCGCGTATTCATAAGTATTCATTAATAAGAGATATATTCTTTATTTATATATATAGCTATATTAAACTATTACTTTTTCACAACGTACCATTTCGATATCTTCATCTAAATATATGTGGTTAATACAGAAATTCACAACTGCAAGTAGACTGATGTTTCTTTTAAATAAAACACACATAACAGATAGTTAGTACAAAATCTTTCTTAGTATACTTAAACTCTTATACAATATGAAAAAACAATTTACTTAAAGTGAATAAATCTAACGACAAATTCGATTGGATACACTAATGCGCACTGAGTGACAATCAAAGTTGTTCTAATATACATATATTTTGTAATATCATACTAAACTATATAAAAGTATAAGTGTAATGTACAGTACATGTACAAATAATATATATATAATATAAAAATAAATAAACAATTCTCTATAAAAAAAATGTGGTTACCTTGGAAATCTGTCTTTTATTTTGCTTATTATAGTGTCCAATGAAGAAAAATCTTTCACATGTCTTGCAACAAGATCGAAAAGAATAGAAACAGAATCACTTTCTTGTATTGAATCATGTTCAAGTTCAGATCGCAAAGTTACTATACTATAATACAGTTCACAACAAGATAAAAATTGAAAGAATTGTTCTTTTTTCTCTTGTAACACGTATATGTCCTGTAGTGTTTTCCACTTTATATACGGAGTTATTATTTCTTTTATCACACCTTGGCAATATATCCATTTCTGCCAACTTGGCAACAATCTGCAAATATTTACAAGAAAATATATAATTTTACTCACACATTATTATCCGAACGGTTTTACATACTTTTCTTATGATATCAAAATAAAGTATCGACACTCATGTCACATTTGCTAGTATGTTTTTCTAACTGTAGAAACAAGGAGTTTTTGACGTTATAGTTAACCAAATTTATACACAAATATACGTACTTGTAATGTACATAGTGATATACTTTATAAAAATAAATGTAATTATATTTACAGAATAATTCAGTTGCAACCTTGTTTTGTTATTACAATATCATAATTTTGTATCAACTCAGGGTACAGTTACATTGTAGTACATATAATCAGTAGCAAAGAGTTATACAATATTACTTTGCTACTAGAAAAATAATTATACGTACTTGTTTTGTACAGGATTTTCGAAATGCCAGTTCAATATATCAGTAAGATGTTTTTTACATTTTACACCATCAAGAATACATGTCCATTTTAGAACTTCGTGATATAATTGATTATCAACGCTATTCTCGGAAACATTTTTGTGTGATGTCTTTTCAAGAAAACTATATAATAATTCTATTATGGTATCCTTAAAAACAAATGAAAACTGTGTTACTATCTTTTGGTGAATCTATATTTTTACATAAACTTAAAAGTTTTGTATTACATAATCAGAGTATGTTCGTTTGTGGAATCTATCCACTAGTATGTTATAATATTGGTAATATGTGTACATTTATAACTAAATGTAACTGTGTTTTGTTTTTTTCTTTTTACGAACTCATATGTACAATACATAATAATGTTTTGTTGTCAGATAATGAAAGACAAATGCAGAACGTATCGTAACGTATACATTGTAAAGTATTATATTGATGTATTGATTTTTTCTTTTATTTAGTTGTTCTTGTAAACTTTGTAATTTTAAATTTTTCTTTGCGCACTATAGTAATATTTACCTTAATTTTTGCGCTTTCTAGAAACGGAAAAACTTTTGATACGTATTGAAGAGCAGTGAATATCGGATACCATGTTATGTATGAATTTTTTACGTAAAGTACATTGCTTGCAAGATTGAAAAATATGTCTATATTACTATCTCCTGCAACTGGATGTTCGTTGTACTTTGTATTTTGTATTAAAAAATAAAAAGCATCGTCGAGAAGTTGGGCTAAAGTAGAGTCAGATAACTCAGATACATTCCAATATATAGATTTCGGATTTTTCAGGAAAGAAGCAATATTTTTCCAAGATTTATAATCGTAGTTGACGCGATATCCTGCAAGGAATAAATGTATAACAAAATCAATACAAAACCACAAACTTAAAAAAAGAGTAAGAGAAATAGAAAAAAAGAGAAACAGAACTACTAAAAAAAAAGAATAAATGTAATACGGTGTTCAAACTTTTAAATGTAATATAAGCTATACATAAGACACTACAGTTATAATTTCTTTATTTTATACTACCATTTTGCTCTGTGATTATAATAAAATCATCTTCAAAGTGCGGAACATAGATAGTTTTTCTTTCTGGAGTTAAACACACATGATAGCGTGTACTACGCTCATTTCTTGATATTGTTACATAAGTTACAGGTATCCACCACTTGTGTTGACACAGTTCCTTTTTAGTGACTGTTACACAGTCTATAATTTTTATTATCAAAGACTGTGTGTCATTGTCTGGTGTTACTTGTACCACAGGGTAACCATCTTGTGTTATCCAAGAATGTATCACATTTTTTATATTTATATTCATTAAAAGGCTATTGTTATATACGGCCGGCAGTACTACTAAATTATTCCATAAATTATCAAAAAATGACTGTTTATTGTATGTATTGTTTAACGTATTCCTACTAGTAACAACAAAAAGCATAACAAAATTGTAGTGTTAATTTTTCTGTTTATAGAAGGATATGTGATACTTTTTACACTTTACTTATTGTGCAGCTTACGCTGTATTAAACATATTTCAAGTACTGTAATATCAATTACTCACTTGGTAGAATATAATTTCATCGCTTCCTCAAAAATAGAGTTGTATAAAACATTTTTGTTATGGAACAAAGTATTCATCATAGAAAATATATTGAAAGCTATAACATATTTCCAATAATATAAAAATTATAAATATCTAATTAAGTTATAAGAAAAAGAATATGGGTAATAATGTTGTCAAATGCATACAATAATAACTGGTTGACTATACTTAATAATTCGGTGACATATTCGCGAATATTACTTATTCTCATTGTTTGTATATTTTTAAGAAGTATTATTAAAGTGAGATTATTTTTATTTGCAAGTATAAAAGCAAAAGCATACTTATAAGGTTTAAATATGATTTTTTGCCTTTACCTTTTCCTTTCCACATTTTACTAAACGTTATATTGTAAAGAAATAAATTCTCTTCTATTTGTATATCATATTCGATACATGCTTGCGTATATTCAAAAACTTCTCGTCGTGTCTGGATTACAATCGACTTCAGTAAAGTCTCAGTAGCAATCTACCAACAATTTGTATAATTGCATATGTCAATTAGCACCGCCATTTATGTTTATGAAAAGTACTACAGTACTTTAATCTTTAATATTTGTCAATAAAAAAGTTATAGTAACAAGTTATCATCACTAACATTATTAAAAATTTTGTATAACAGAAACAATAACTAAAACCGAAATGTGACATTACAACTCTCTTAAAAACATAAAACATAATTCTGTGTTTTAGTTCACTAATTAATACATTAAGTTTATGTATATCATTTTGCATATATATATATAGTATTTCACACACACACATTCGTGTATATGTAATAATAACTTTTGTATAATGTATACTAATTATCTTTTTAAGTAGAAATATAAAACGTATCCTTATAAATAGTTTTTGTTTGTAAACTTAAATTATTTTACAGTATTTTGTATATAAATGTATATATTTATAAAATTATTTATTATTAGCAAATATTATTAGTTACATAAACCTTCTTATTTTTACAATGCTAGAATGTCTTATTATTTTATATATATTGTACTATCATGTATGAAATAAATTTCAATTGCAAGACTTACCTGATCGTTCAAATAAACTCCGTAAAATGACAAAAACCCTTCTATAAACCAAGAATCAGAGTTTTTTAATGTCAGTAACCATTCACCGAACATTTCTTGCATCACACTGCGCACAACCACAAGTGTTACTTCTTTTTTTTTTATAATCGAATCTACCTCGAAATTGTATGCAATATTAGCGTCTCTAAAATTAATATTGTTCTTACAACAATTCTGACGTTTTCATTATATGTATGATTGTTTTAAGTTAATTTTACCTGAAGAATACAAGTCCAGTAGTTACTATAGTTTCGTAATTGTAGAAATTGATTGGAAGTGCTACATAGTGCACGTATGAATTTGATGTGATATTCTCTATCTTGTGACCGATGGATGTCGTAAAATTTTGTATAAGAAATACTGCGTATGAAATGTCGTTTTTCACTTGGAATCTGCTTTGTATAGTGCCTGTATTTAACACGTCGACGTGTGTAGTACACTCCGAAGGTACGATTGCTGTTGCTACCAAATGAGTGGATATTTTAGGTGTCGTACGAAATAAAGTATAAAGTTGATCGTTTTGCACTATTTTGTCACCAGGCATATTTGATAGAACTGTTTGATCGTGATCATGTTTAATTTGAATTGTAAATTTAGCCTTGGTTGTGGGATTCGTCCAATACGGAAATATCCAGTCAGCGGGTATACGCGGCAAAATCAAATATCTACATAATGAAAAAACGTAGATTGTATAACTACATTGGTATTTAAGTAATAACGTTTTATAGGTATTATTTTCTTATAAAACAAAAAACATACTTACTGCAGTATCGTGTACTTACTTGTCTTTTGTTTCTTTTTCAAAGATCATTGCACTTTTGTCTAAAATCCAATTATACTTTACATTGATCCAGTATATTCCAGGTAGTATACTTCTTTTCTGTACAGTTGTTTTAGAGTTGTTTTGATATTTTGTTATACGAATCATGTCACCGAATGAATCACTTGTTTCAGAAAATAGCACATGTAGTACCCATTCCACTGAAGTATCAGTAAAGACATTATCGACGGTACCATAGTAGAAATCATTCAGGTAACGTCCGAAATATAATTGTATATCTTGCAGTACACATGAAACGTTCAGTTTGACACGAGAATCAACAGTGAGAGAATTGTTTTGTACGTTTGCTGAAACATTTATACGATATTCTATCGGATGGTAACACTGCGGTACTTGAGATAAATTCGCATCAGTTGAAGAAGCAATTCCGGTTAGAAATAGGATGCATGTAATTCCAAAGAATGGAAGCATATGCGTACTTTGAATCTGTAAAATGTTTTTGTTTATTAAACAAACATTACATACGCAAATAAAAACGCAACACACATTTAATATGTACAGAATAAATGTTTGCTTTTTCAGATATACATTCAAATTTCTCACAACGTATACAGTCGCGACAAGTCTCCCAAAACGTATACTTCCCATATTTTCTCACTCTTTACCTCTTGCATATGCAAAGACTTACTTGATAAAAAGTTATTTCGCGCTAGCGCAGTTTCGGTTAGGTTAGGTTGTAATCATACTTAGTGGTGGAAAAACCGATGAAGGAAAAAGTTTAAATTTTGAGAGTGGATTTGTATACATTTTGAGAGTATACGTTTTGGGAGGTTCGACAGTATATAAATATGAAGAACAGATGTTATGATTGTTATAGAGTATGTTTATCACTAGGTAGCAATGTTGTTTTATATTTCTCACGTACGGATAGACATATTTTCACATATTAGGTGTCATGAATACGGTGTTTTTATGAACTTGACATGTAGAAAGAAATTTGAAGATTAAAAGGTAGAAATTGTGGTGAACATTTTTAACAAGATAGTAGATATTTTAAGGAACAAAATTATACTCGAAAAATTTTTCTCCATTTTTCGAGCGCGTTTTAATTATTTAATATGTCACACATTGCAATTATTAAGTCAATGTACAATTACAATTGTAGATCGTAATAATATTTATGTAATATTAATCTATGTAGCATTAACGAGTAGTAAGATTTGCACAATATTGATAAATTAAAGTAGATATATGAATTTTTAAATTATAAAGTAGAAAAAACGATTTCCATATTGATTTAGTGTATAATGAAAAACAGAAGTTATATTTAAAAACAAAAATTGTGTTCTACAAATACTATACGAGTTTCTCATAACTTACCATGTTTCACATAATAATTATCTACTAAAATATAAATCTTGAGCACTACTTTATACGTATTATCGCTATATAAGTCAAAAACGAATTGCCTGAAAATATCCGCGATCCTGCCTGTTCGAGAGATCCTCGATAACTACAAAACAGTCGTTTTTGTGAAATAATAAATACATATCACGATGTAAACGTCTCTATTGGGGGAAACGACCTTACTTAAGTTATAGTACGTATACATATGTATAGAAATATGAGTCTCAAAATACTTTCAGTGTTCAATAGACATTCATATACATACTGTTTTCATCAGAAGACAGTTCAATACGTATATGTTTTTCTGAAAAGATACAGGTGAAATAATATACCAAAAATCAAACAAAATCCTTATTTTTTAATGTGCCAATGTTGCGTTCGGGAATATGTAAAAGATTTGTTGCGCAAAAAATTAGTTATAAAAACGAAAGAAATATAAATACACTCGAAACACGTTAAGCGCAGCATCAGTTTCTGAGGACTGACAGTGAATTTTTCGGTTAGGCAGCGTCAGTCTCTGGGAACTGCCAGGGAACTTTCTGCCATTTTCATACTTTGTAACCGAATACTCAGCGAATTGTCGCCGCCGCGTCGTCATGCCGCCTGAACGGAAAACAGCAAACTCGGCTCCGCGCTTAACGTTAAAATATTTATTAAAAAATATGTATTGAAAAATATATTTTTGGTAACTATTACGTATAGATTTTGTACTTCTTGTCTTACGCAGAGATTTGCCAGAACTTGCGTAAAGTCACGCTTGACGCGAGCGTGGTTTTTTCCAGAAGACTTTCTGCAAGTAGTATGTTTTACGACATTGTCGATCCGGATATTGTATCAAAACAAAAGTGGTATCATTAGTATGTGGCAGCTGCAAATGCATTTACTGTTTTTCGTCACACTTGTGCGGCTTATGTTTATAGAAACTGTTGCAACTATTTTTTAAAGATAAATATAGTAAATAAAAAATTATTTCTCGTTTTCCTTTTACTACTGATGTAAATAAAGCTCGATAGCATATTTATGGACACTATTGTACATTGATAAGATGATCAATATCGAGTTTCACGTTATTTTGTCACGATTTTTGAACAAGATAAGTTAACTGATTACTCAGTAAATTGAGTGTTTTTATTTATTTCTTGCCACAGTTTGATAACAAGTGAGTTTTGATGTATCAATAAATTCTTTTGAAAAAAATGTACTATGTATGAAATGCTTCTGTAGGCAGCGTTCTGATATTCACTGCCAGTTCTAAAAATTTATACCACATGTAAAGTAAAGTATAGCTTTTTAGGACTATCTGGAAAATAGCACTAAATATCAAAACGCCGTCACAATTAGTAAGATTTTCCTTGTTTTCCTGTTGTGTAAGAATCACAATCGACTTCAATAAAAATTTAACATACATGTACCAACACTTTTTAAATTTATTCAAATATTTATGTGAATCTTATTAGCTATTATAATATAATGTGAGGTTAGTAAACGCGCAATCTTTATGAGATCTTCTAATAAAAAAATTTAAACAGTAAAGCAAGTTATTAAAACTACGGCAAATGATTAATACATTAAATTATTATAAATTTATTTAAGTATAATGTGTATATTAAGGATATGTATATACTGTGAGAGAGATTACTCTTTCTCAACAAATTTTGTAAGATCAATATGCAATACGTACATAACTTGTTATTGTTCAATGTAAACGCATTTGCGCTATTCACAGATTACAGAAAAAAATTGCGTGCTATCGAAGCGCGTAGATGGTTATACGGATAGCATAATGTGCTTGCGGCACGAGATTTTGTAAAGTATCTATCGAAACGTTATCGGAGAACTGCTTGTTTGTCGTGCAAAGTCATTTCTGTGTATAAAACTTGGTCACGTGCTTACAGAAATACGCAAGAAATAATATTTACCCGTGGTTCGGCTGAGTGCCAATTGATCAGCTGATTGAAGTTGACTTATAATCGAGAGCTAGGCCAAGGCGCGTGAGTCTCGCACGAATTCGCAAAATAATCATGGCTTTTCCTGAGCGATCGAGTGCGAACGCTGACTCCAAAACTCTTTGTAAGAACGACATATGATAGACACGCGAAACTTTCGTCATATAGTTTCTTTTACATTAGAAATACTGTATTTTACAAAATTAAACCAAAGTGCAAAACAGCAAAGTAGTATTTTCATATACGTGACATTTTTCATCTTGCGGTAACGTCACCTATTATCAATAATATTTTTTTAAAGAAATTAGCAAAATAAAAATTGCTTCATTGCGTGTGCGTATGTGTGAATCAAACAAAAGTATTTGGATAACACTTGTTTAGATCTTGTGAAACTTTAGTGATAAAAACAATCTTTCTTTTGTTTTTACTAATATTTAAAATATGTAATATAAACTTATTTTACTTATTTAAAGTACTTACTTTTGCTGTGGCTGATATTAATTAAACTGCTACTATATGTGTTAGTTTCACGATGACTACAATTTCGGTGTTCTGATGACGGACAGCAGTATTTCCAGTATCGGTGAAGTTGCAGTTTTATATGTAAGTATGCTTCTAAATAATAAGCAATAAGGAAACAAAAAAATGATAAGAAAATAACTTGAAAGAAAGTCTCTTTGATTGTAACACAATTTTTTTTTTAATTCACAGAACAGTGGTAATTTAGAAACAAATGTTAGATTACATACAAATGTGCCCACATGAACTTCCTTGAAAATATTGCACATTGATAAGAATTAAGGAATTGTCACAATATAATGAAGATTAGTTTGCAAATACTTTTTTTTATTATACAATTTTGAAAAACATATCTGTGTTCAAACATATTAAATACAAAACCAGAATAAATTTTACTTAAATACATTATAATAAAATTATCATTTGTCCGTTTATAAATACATAGAAAAATATTACGAGTAACATTATTTTATCATACATAAAACTGTTTGATATAGATTTTGTTTTCATTTAAACTTTTGTGTACATATCATAGATTGGTATCCTTCTATACTTGTTTTTAAATAATGTCTGCTTTGTAGGTATTTGATTATAGGTAAATATATACTTAATAGCATTCGTCGTGTACGATGAATTATAGTATATTATTTACATTTTTCAAAAATTCAATTTTTTTTTATAAACAAGTTGCAAATTATTACATAAATTAAAATCCGTAAAATATATTTCCGTAATATACTATACGTAAAATATATATACAATAAATACTAAATATAATTTACAACTACTTTAGTGTTATAGACAAAATTGAATTTTTTATATGACAGTATTCAATTATAATAGCAAGCGCATGAACTTGTACAAATATTATTTTTAAGTTAAATAAAAAGTAGCACACAAACATTACAAAACACTTACATTTTTTATATTTTTGTAATCAAGTACTTCGTGAATATTATTACGAATGTTATATCGCGTTCTACTGACAAACCTACGGCGAAACATAACTTTTTTTGCTATGATGTCGTTTATGAACATTGCCTAAAAAAGATTACGCCATATATTTTCAATACTACATTGTGTATATATTTTGTATAAATACATTTTGTGAACTTTGTAACAATCTGTACACAATATGAATTATACTTTGTAACACTCAAAACTAAAGTACCAATTTTAAATAAAAATAGTGTACAAAAACAAAACACACTTTTATAACACTTTAATTTTTCTGTTTATAAAAAAAATTAAAAAAAAAAACTATTACCGTGTTTTCATCATATACGTCGAGTAGGTTTTCAAACAGACGTTCTACAGCCTTAGTAACCTAAAACAATCGTGTGATAATACTACTGAACGGAATGACTTGTGAAACTGTATTAAACATGATAATCTTATATTATGCTAAATTAAGAGTGCATACAGTACTGTTATAATTGTAATACTCGCGTACTCATAAGTATTTATAAATAAAAGATATATTTTTTATTTATATATAGCTATAGTAAACTATTACTTTTACACAACGTACCTTTTCAATATCTTCATCTAAATATACGTGGTTAATACAAAAATTCACAATTGCAAGTAGACTGATCTTTCTTTTAAATAAAACACACATAACAGATAGTTAGTACAAAATCTTTCTTAGTATACTTAAACTCTTATACAATATGAAAAAACAATTTATATAAAGTGAATAAATCCATCAACAAAGTTGCTTGAATGCACTAGTACGCACTGAGTGCGTCTCCTTTCAATATATAATAAAACATCTCTGTGTTAGTATCCGAATACCCTAATATCCGAACATTCTGTTATTCAAACAACGTTTCTTATATATAGCGATGTTTATTGAATATATTAACATATATGTTCGGATGATAGAATGTTTAGTTATTAGGATTATTCAGATAATGGAGGTTCGGATATAGGCGTCTCTACTGTACTTTACTACATACTGAAAAAAGACGCATTGAATGCGCAGTAGTGTCTTCATTCGAATTTGTTGTAATATACATATATAATAATAAGTTATATAAGATTATAAGTATAATGTAAACTACATGTACAAATAATATATAAATATTATAAAACTAAATAAAGAGTTTTCTATAAAAAATGGGTTTACCTTGGAAATCTATCTTGTATTTTGTTTATTATAGTATTCAGTGAAGAAAACTCATTTACATGTCTTGCAACAAGATCGAAAAGAATGGAAACAGAATCACTTTCTTGTATTGAATCATGTTCAAGTTCAGATCGCAAAGTTTCTATACTATAATGCAGTTCACAACAAGATAAATATTGAAGGAATTGTTCTTTTTTCTCTTGTACCACGTACATGTTCTGTATTGTTTTCCACGTCATATAAGTTATAATTTCTTTTATCGTACCGTGGCAATATATCCATTTTTGCCAACCTGCCAATAATCTGCAAATATTTACAAGAAAATATATAATTATACTCACACAGTATTACTCGAACGGTTTTACATACTTTTCTTATGACATCAAAATGAAGTATCGACACTCATGTTACATTTGCTACGACGTTTTTTATACCCGTACAAACAAAAATTTTTTGACGTCATATTTAAACAAATTTATACACAAATTTACGTACTTGTAATGTACAAATTTCTATATTTTATAAAAATAAATTTAATTCTATTTACAAAATAATTTAGTCGCAAACTTCTCGTGTTATTACAATATATTAACATTCACACAGAGTCAGTTACATAATATTACATATAATCAAGAGCACAGTGTTACAAGACGCACTTTGCTTGTAAAGAAATAAATAAAACGTACTTGTTTTTTACAGGATTTTCGAAATGCCAGTTCAATATATCAGTAAGATGTTCTTTGCATTTTACACCACCAACAATACATGTCCATTTTAGAACTTCGTGATATACTTGAGTATCAACGCTATTCTCGGAAACATTTATGTATGATGTATTTTCAAGAAAACTATTTAATATTTCTAATATTTTATCCTATAAAACAAAGTGTAAAAAGAAGTCAAAGATTTTATTTACTCTGTAACTTGTAAATATACTCAAACGTTTTTTATGTAAAACTCATTGTATAGTAATTATTTATTGTACTTTGTTGCATACTTTAATATTCTTAAGATATGTACGTTTCTAACGGCATAATTGTTCTATTTTTGCTTTGGACAAAATCATATACAGAGTGATTCAGAACAACTTTTTTTTCTTGAAAATACATCTTCTTGACTACATTCTGAAACAATTTTTTCTGTGACAAAATTTTGTTTGAAGCTTACTTTTTGTCACAAGTTTACCTTTTGAGGTGTTAATAAAACTAGGTGACTAACTCCGAGTCGAATACAAGAGGCAAACAGAAGTGGCGCAACTCACCGTCACTCGCAAGCGATTACGTGTGGATTTTGACGCGATCAGCTGATCGCTACACACTGTTACTGTATGTGTTTCTCTGTCTCTTTCTCTTTCTTTTTTTTCACTTATTTATTTATTCAATTGTACTTTGTAAAACTTAATCCATGCACCACATGAATCACTGTCAATCACGGTGAGTTGCGCCGACCCTGCCTATCTCTTGTATCCGACTCGTGGTAAGGTACCTATTTTTATTAATAACTCAAAGAGTAAGCTTCAAACAGAATTTTGTCAAATAAAAAGTTGTTTTAGAATTTAGTCAAAAATATGTATTTTCAAAGATAAAAGGTTGTTCTGAATCATCTTGTATACACTAATGTATAATGTTTTTCCTGTTGTCAATTGATGAAAAAAAACGTAAAAAAAAAAACATAACGTAAAACCTGATTATTGTAACAATAATTCACTGAGTTTCTTGTATTTACTTTCTTTTTAAGACCTTTCGAAGTTGTTTTTTAGTACTGCATTATAGTAATATTTACCTTGATTTTTGCGCTTTCTGGAAACGGAAATATCTTTGATACGTATTGAAGAGCAGTAAACAATGGATACCATGTTATGTAGGAATTTTCCACGTACATTACTTTGCTTGCAAATTCTAAAAACATGTTTATATTACTATCTCCTGCAACTGGATGTTTGTTGTACTTTGTATTTTGTATTAAAAAATAAAACGCATCGTCGAGAAGTTGGGCTAAAGTAGAGTCAGATAACTCAGATACATTCCAATATATAGATTTTGGATTTTTCAGGAAAGAAGCAATATTTTTCCAAGATTTATAATCGTAGTTGACGCGATATCCTACAACGAATAATGTATAAAAACAATACAAACAAAACTACAAACAAAACTACAAACTTAAAAAAACAGAAAGCGTAATAGGAAAAAAAAGAGAGATTAGAAAGAAAAATAGTAAATGTATTACGATGTTAAAAATAGTTAATGTAATACATTCAAATTTCGATAACTTAAATCTCAAGACAAGAGCTCAAATCTTTGCGTTGAAGAGATTTTGACTTATTGAATGTCTCTTGTTCTTTTCGCGAAGCGGAGAGAAATAAACACAATTTTCGATTTATACAGATTTTCGAGTTATAGAAGTTCGAGTTATCGAGATTTGACTGTACAATAAATATATAAGACACTACAATCATAAATTCTTTCTATTGTACTACCATTTGGCTCTGTGAGTATGATAACATCGTCTTCTACAAATTTCAAAATATAGATACTTGGTACGTTTGGCGTTAGACACAAATGATGTATAATAGACTCATTTTTTGATATTTCTATAAAAGTTACAGGTATCCACCACTTGTGTTCACACAGTTCTTTTTGATTGATTGTTACACAGTCTATAACCTTTATTGTCAAAGACCGTGTGTCATTGTCTCGTGTTACTTGTACCACAGGATAACCATCTTGTGTTATCCAAGAATTTATCACATTTTTTATATTTATATTCTTTAAACGAATATTTTTAGTAACGGCCGGCTCAACACTTAAATTGTTCCATAAATTATCAAAAATAGACTGTTCATTATATGTATCGCTAAACGTATTCCTAGAATGTAACAACAAATTGCATAACAAAAAAACATATTGGTGTTAATTTTATCTTTTATACAAAGATATGTAATACTTTTACACTTGACTTATAAAGCAGCTTACGCTGTATTAAACATGTTTCAAATACTGTAATATCAATTACTCACTTGGTAGAATATAATTTCATCGCTTCCTCAAAAATGGAGTTGTATAGAACATTTTTGTTATGTATTAAAGTATTAATCATATAAAATATATTGAATGCTACAACATATATCCAATAAAGTAAAAGGTATAAGTAACTTATAATTAAAAAAATATGGTTAGGACTGTTGTTACATGCATACAATAATAACTGGATGACTGTACTTAATAATTCGGTGACATATTCGCGAATATTATAGTGTATATTCTTATTGTTTTTACAGTTTTAAGATGTATTATTCAAAAGATATAATATTCTTTTGCAAGTATATAAGCAAAGACGTATTTTTAAGGTGTAAATACCGATTTTCTTTACCTTTCTTTTTCCATATTTTACTAAACGTTATAGTGTCGGAAAATAAATTTTTCGGTATTGGTATATCATATTCAATACATGCTTGCGTATATTCAAAAACTTCTCGTCTTATTTGGATCGCAATCGACTTCAGTAAAGTCTTAGTGGAAGTCTACCAAGAATTAGTATGATTACACACATGTCTTAACATCATTTATGTTTAGGTTTAGGTAAAGTAGTACAGTACTAAAATCTTTAGTATTTGTCAATTGAAAAAAATATAGTACCAGCAAAATATTACTACTAAAATCATTAAAAATATTTGTGTAACAGAAACATTACTTAAAAAAGACATGTGACATTACAACTTTTTTAAAAAAAATACATTACAACTTGTTTTTAAAGTTCATTATTACCTACATTACTTCTATGTATATCATTTGGCATATATATAGTATTTTACACACATATACATTTGTGTATATGTGATAATAACTTCTGTATAATGTATACTTATAACTTTTTAAGTAGAAATATAAAACGTACATTTATAAACAGTTTTTTTTTGTAAACCTATATTATTTTACAGTCTTTTGTATATAAATATATATATATATTTATAAATTTATAATAATTCTTTAATAATTTTTTTTATAATACTTTTATTCCAATAAGTTCGTATATAAATATATAT